AAACAGCTATTCTGCAAAAAGAAAGTCATTTTGAAGTTTCAAGAAATTGAAATACAATGGAATTAGGTAAAACAAATGATAAATAAATATTGCAAAGACAAGACGAAGTCTTGACATATCAATCGATACCTCGAATCATTCGATAGAAAATGAATATACATGATAAAAAAAAATGTTTCAAATTTAATAAAAACAATGATTTATTGTCAAATTTATCATGTTTTAGGATTTGGGGATTATTAAATTATATTTTTTCATCCTTTTTAAAACCTTCAAAATATTGATTAAATGTCTTGTTTTTTTATTTTGGTTTTATTTTTTTGTTGTGGTGGTGGGGAGTTTTTTCAGCCCCAGTTTTTTCAATGATTATGAGAAATTTTTTGTAAAGCGTCTTTTTTTTGCAAAAGGAAAGCAATGCTATAAATTTTTGTTTAATTCAAATAATTTTTTTATTTGAATGAAATTTTCAGGACATATTCAGAAATGACAAACAAAACAAAACATTTTTTTTTTTTTTATATTTACTAAATTTTATTTAATTTTAATTCTGAATTTTATAAATTTAATTTTTTCTTGAAATTTTTCTTTTTTTTTTTTTTTTTTTTTTTCTTTTTTTTTTTTTTTTTTTTTTTTATTGAAAACAGGACTCTTTGGAAAATGTAAATCATCAATTTTTTTTTTTTTAAACGGTTAACCCATTCAAAAAAAAAAAATCTCTGAATCGTAAAATAAAATAAAAATGCAATAAAATAATTTTGTCATTATAAATATTAGAAAAAAATATTGTTTATGAAAATATATTTTAATAATATGCTTAAGTTTAAGCATATTATAAAATAAATAGTCGATGATTGACTTTCTGAGTGTAGTTTTAAAATAATACCAGTAAAAGAACGGCATTCAGAGAGATACGAGATGACAATCAATTTTTTACATTATTCAGACTGTTATCCTTATCTTTATTGCCATATTCACAACGTTTCGGCCGTTGTACACACCAGCCTTCTTCAGGTGACTGCAATTTTGAGTCGAAAACCTTTATTTCGTTCACCGGGGTAGATTGTTCTAGTTCCTCGTGCCATGCCTCTTCCGGGCGTCTCAGTTATTTAACGCAACTCTCCAAGATTTTGGTTCGCCTCTGCTGTGGCCTGGTATTGAACGTACAACTGTTTGGGTCTAGTCACTGGATCTAACCAATGTCTTTATCCACTGGGCCATGTGAAGAAGGCCGGAGCGTACAAAGGCCGAAACATTGTGAATATGACAAAGAAGATGAGGATAACAGTCCAAATAATGTAAATAATCATAATACCTCATCTCAGAGATATAGACAGATAATAACGATTGATGTCGTGTTTAAATTTTTGAAGATTGTTGTTGCCAAGAAAGGAAAAAAGGCAGAAGGGAGTTCCACAAGCGAGAATATATTAATTAAAAGTAGAACATCTTGGTGAATTTAAATCATCAATTTCTATTTCTAAAACAGGACTCCCAGTTACCGAAAAATCTACATTGGAGCGTAAAATAAAAAATGCAATGAATGTAAGACATTATTTAATTAGAAAATATATATTATGGACACTATTCTCTTAAAAAAACATTTTTTTTCGATGAATAATGAATTTTTACAAGAATTGTATTCATTTTTTAAAATTTTAATTGAAATAAATCTTTTAAATTTCTGTATTAATGTGTATCGATTAGGTAACGCTGTTATTAACTAAAAACTATATTTACTAATCAAAAATGGAAAAACTTACTATAAATAAACGACCCCAATATTTTAATTACAATTTTGAATTTTTTGTGCATGTGTATAAACGTGCTGATTTTTGTAAATACGGGCATCCATACACAAAATCAGAGCGATGACTATCGTAAAATTAAAACCAATGTACCTAAAATTCAATAAAGCATTAGATTATGGAGAATAATTTCGTAAATTGTTAAGATTACTGGGTAGTTAAAAATTATATATAAACGGCGCTCACGTTATATTCCTCTAGTAATTTTTACAGATGTGTCCACGGAAGAATAAAAAATAAATAAACTTCCGGCTGTCAGTCAAGCTGTCAACACCTTAAATAAACATCAATCTCCATGTTAAAAAATGCATTTCTACGATATTTTAAACTAAAAATAAGAATTATTTGTTTCAAATCAGATTAATTAAACTTCAAATCAGCTAATAATAATCGAATTATGTTTCAGAAAAGTAAATTTTATTTTTGGAAGATTTTTTTTTTAATAAATAGAATTACATTGTGCTGGCAAATGCCTAAAATGGTGCAAAAAATAAGGGATTTCAAAACGAAATCTCCTTCGAGTCATTTTGCTTATTAGAAATATTTAATTTAATCTAATTAGTTAGAAATTAAAATTAAAATAAAAGCTTCAAGAATTATTTTTCATTTTTAAATTAAACAAAATCTCAGGTATCAATGAAAAAATAACTCTCTCTCTCTCTCTCTCTTCTCTCTCTCTCTTTCTTCTCTCTTAAATATCTATCTATAGTATGTTCTATTATAGTATGTTCATTTCTATCTATCTATCTATCTATCTATCTATCTATCTTAGTCTGTTCATTATCTATCTTCTATCTATCTATCTTAGTCTGTTCATTATCTATCTATCTATCTATCTTAGTCTGTTCATTATTCTATCTATCTATCTATCTATCTATCTATCTATCTATCTATCTATCTATCTATCTATCTATCTTAGTCTGTTCATTATCTATCTTCTATCTGTTCTATCTATCTATCTATCTATCTATCTATCTATCTATCCCAGTCTTTTCCTATCAATCAACTTCTGTCTGTCATTCAAGCTGTCAACAGCTAAAATAAACAGCTATTGACATATTAAAAAAATCATTTCTGTGATATTTTAAAGGTAATATTTGTTTCAAATTAGATTAATTGGACTTTAAATCCGCTAATATTCCTCAAATAAAGGTCAGAAAAGTATATTTTATTTTTAGAAGAAATTTTTAATAAAAGAGAATTACATTGCGATGACGGATGGTTAAAAATGACGTTAAAATCATTGAATGTTGGCGATTTCAAAATGGAAACGTCCAGACAATTTAAATTAACCTTGAAATACAGTAAAGTATTTTGCTTATTAGAAATATTAAATTTAATCTGTTAGCTCGAAATTAAAAAATTAGAAAGATTTTTCAATTTTTTAACTTAATATTAAACATTAGGTATCGCTTTTCTGTAAAGATACCTGTGTGTGTGTGTGTGTGTGTGTGTGTGTGTGTGTGTGTGTGTGTGTGTGTGTGTGTGTGTGTGTGGTCAAATTAATGTGTCAGGATGACAGTATACTTAAAACATTGGATCATTAATTAATCACCCATGTATTATCCGGGCCGGCGCGTATTTCACAGAACCCCCCACCCCACCCCCGATGGAGGCGGGGAGCAAGTTTGATTGGAGACCCAGGGTAGTGCTTTGGGAAACTCTTTATCTTATCGACATTTGCTTTTTTTTTTCTACCTGAATTTATATACGTTATAAATTATACTAAAATAACACAACTGACTATTATTAAAGGATGAAAAATTTACGCGGATTTTAACATCATTTTAGGGGGGGGGGATCGTCCAAATCCGTGAATTTGTTTTGCTATTGCTAAATCTCAAAAATATATATATATATATATATATATAATTCATCGATGATGTTAAATGTATTAAAATTATCCCGCATTTTAACAAGAAAAAAAATGTCAAGTTGATGTTAAAAACTACCGCTAAACATTGTTTATTTTAAATGGAATACTCCATTATATGTCTCTAATTTGTATTTAGATACATTGTATTTATTTTCTATTTTTCTACTTGAATTGTTCACCTATATTGCATATTATCCATTATTGTACATAATTAAGTTACAATAAAATTCGTATTTTATATGAATACTACCTTATGAAACTTGAGATGTAGTGCTTTTTTCTACCTCCATTTATATACATTACAAATTAAACTAAGCACAACTGACTGTTAAAGTATTAAAGGGTGAAACATTTTCTCGTATTTTGACGTCATTCCGGGGTCTTTTTTTGTCCAAATTCATAAGTTTGTTTCTCTCATGTAAAGTCTCGAAAAAACACGATATAAAATTTACTATTTTTTTTTATCCCTAATGTTGAATGTGATTAAATTATTCAATTTTTTAAGACACAAAAATGTCAAGTTTATGTTAAAAATTACAGCAGAATATTGTTGATTTATTGAAGATGGTATCATCTATTATGACATGTCTCTAATTTGTATTTAGATACATTGGATTTATTTTCTATTCTTCTAGTTGAATTGTTCACCTATATTGCATATGATCCATTATTATAGGTTGCAATAAAATTCGTATTTTATATGAATACTACCTTATGAAAATTGAGATTTAGTAGAGTGGGGTGGGGCATCATAGATTGGGGGGGCATATCATAATGTGGTTGGGGTCACGAGACCTTTGTACCGGCCCTGTGTATTATGGAACTCTGTCGAGAAATTTCATGATAAAAATTTCCGCAAAACATTGTTGATTACTTAAGATGGAATCATCTATTATGACAGGTCTCTAATTTGTATTTAGATACATTGGATTAAGTTTCTATTTTTCTAGTTGAATTGTTCACCTATATTTCATATGATCCATTACTGTAAATGATTATGTCACAATAAAATTTGTATTTTATATGATTTGGTTTGGTTTGTTTTACGGCATATCAACCTCAATGGGTTATTTAATGCCGACAACATTTTTAGGATAGATTCGTATGAATAGAATATGTATTCTTTGGTTTAGATTGGTTTGGTTTATTTTTTTTTTAACATATCAAATATCTCAATGGGTTATTTAATGCCGAAAACATTTTTAGGGATAGATTCGTATGAATAGAATATGTATTCTTTTGTTTAGATTGGTTTGGTTTATTTTGTTTTACGGCATATCAACCTCAATGGGTTATTTAATACCGACAAAATTTTTATTGCTGGTAATGTATTTCTTCAAAAAATCTATAGCTGGTCATATTTTTTTCAAAGAATATATAGCTGTTTGTATTGCTGGTATTTTGTTTTAAAGTATTGCTGATAATAATTTTTCCTTCAAACATTTTTGCTGGTAATAATTTTTTTTTATTACAAAGTATTTCTGGTATTAAAACCTATTTTTACACAAGTTTGGGTGTTAAATATTTGCCCATAGCCGGGACCCTAACAGATGCTACTACCCTAGGTCAGGGTGGACCTGGGAAGACCAGCAATTAAGAGGTGGTTCCACGCTCCTCAAAACCTCCTGATCAGAGGCCTTGCTGTTGGACGTAGTTTATCGTCTTACCCAGGACGGTATTTTACATGAATACTATCTTATGAAAATTGAGATGTAGTAGAGTTGGGGGCAATATCATAGATTCGGTGGTGGGGCATTTCATAGATTGGTAGGGGTCACGAGACCTTTGTACCGGCCCTGTGTATTATGGTACTTTATCGACTACACTAGTTTTTTAAATATTGCATCATGTAGCTTGATTAACGTTTATTGGGACCACAGTAATGGAGGAAGACAACAACTTGGAGAGAAAAAAACAGTCAACTAAATGGGATTGATAAGCGTACACACAATAATAACTACGGTAGCGGATAATGATCCGATTGTTTAACGAGGTCTCAGGTGTACTTGTCAAAATATTAAAATGAAATTACAATATTCTATTTATCCAATTGTTTTATTTACGTCTTTGTATACCTCAAGAACTGTGAGCTTGATAAACAGTAGTTAAGTCTATAAATATTAAGTCTATATTATATTATATATGAGTTTTATATGCGAACTGGACTATATTTTTATATATATTTTTGTTACATTTTTCAGTCATAGATCAGAGAGGCTCTGTTCCTGCAAATTTCTGGTGATTTTCGTCTGGGTTCATCTTTTCTTTTTCTTCCTCTTTTTATGAGAGGGTTGCACTCTCGTGAGATGAGAGAGAAAAAGAGAGAGAAGGAAAGAGAGAGAGAGAAATAGGGTTGCCCTTTCGTTAGTTGGAAGAGAAGTATATACAGGAAGTTGAGAGAGAGAGAGAGAATTTCAGAGAGGAAGAGAAAGAGATAAGGGTTGTAAAGGAAAGCGCAAATGCCTTATTTGAATTTGAATTCTTTTCCTTCTTCTTCTTCTTCTTTGTATTTGAGGGTTGCTCTCTCGTTAGTTGAGAGAAAAGTAGAGAGAGAAGGAAAGAGTTAAAGTGAGAAAGAAAAAATCTAAAAAAAAAAAACTTAAAAAAATGACTTATTTGAATTTGAATTCTTTTCCTTCTTTCTTCTTTGTATTTGAGGGTTGCTCTCTCGTTAGTTGAGAGAAAAGTAGAGAGAGAAGGAAAGAGAGTGAGTGAGAAAGAAAAAGAAAAGGGTTTCAAAGGAAAGCACAAATGCCTTATTTGAATTTGAATTCTTTTCCTTCTTCTTCTTCTTCTTCTTTGTATTTGAGTGTTGCTCTCTCGTTAGTTGAGAGAAAAGTAGAGAGAGAAGGAAAGAGAGTGAGTGAGAAAGAAAGAGAAAAAGGTTGTAAAGGAAAGCGCAAATGCCTTATTTGAATTTGAATTCTTATTTTTTGTTTATATATTTTATTTTTATATTTTATTTTCACGCGACTCACGGCATTTCTTGTTCAATCTTTGAAATTCTAGCGAAAAAAGTTAACAGTGAAACAGCAGACAATATAGAAATACTATATTTAATACTATACTTAAATAATACTATACAATATAGAAATACTATATTTAATACTATACTTAAATAATACTATACAATATAGAAATACTATATTTAATACTATACTTAAATAATACTATACAATATAGAAATACTATATTTAATACTATACTTAAATAATACTATACAATATAGAAATACTATATTTAATACTATACTTAAATAATACTATACAATATAGAAATACTATATTTAATACTATACTTAAATAATACTATACTTAAATAATGCTATACTTAATATTACACAATATAGAAATACTATATTTAATATAACGCAATGTAGGATGAACGAGTTTGAGACACACAGGGCTCTTCACTATTGTGGCCTTGCACCAAACTAAAAGAATCGTCTTGACTACAGTTTACCGGGATCACAGTACTGGAGGCAGACAACTTAGTGAAAACAGTAGAATGAATGAAATTGATAGACTAACGTACAATGCTGATCATGGCGGTAGCGAAGAATGAATTCATAGATAAAGTGAGAATAACAAGTAACAATTTAAATAAGATAATCTCGTCTTATTAGTCTGTTAGATCTGCCATCAATAAGTAATTATGTTCAACTTAATTACAAATAACAATAGATAAAATAGTAACGATAGTTTAATTATGGACTCGGGTGTACTTGTCAAACTATTGTAATGAAATTACAATATTCTATTTAGATAATTATTTGTTTTAATTTTGATTTTTTTTTACAGTTCAGAAAAATATGTATAA